CACACCCAGCTAATTTTTGTATTTTTTAGTAGAGACGGGTTTTCACCATGCTGGCCAGGATGGTTTCAATCTCTTGACCTTGTGATGCACCCGCCTCAGCCTCCCAAAGTGCTGGGATTACAGGCGTGAGCCACGACACCCAGCTAATTTTTGTATTTTTAGTAGAGACAGCGTTTCGCCATGTTGGCTAGGCTGGTCTTGAACTCCTGACCTCAAGTGAGCCGCCTGCCTCCCAAAGTGCTGGGATTACAGGAGTGAGCCGCCGCGCCCAGCAATAAAATATTTTTAAATTAAGGTATGTATTTTTTTTTTAAAAAGAAAAAAAGAGCTGGGCACGGTGGCTCATGCCTGTAATCCCAGCACTTTGGGAGGCTGAGGCCGGTGGATCACAAGGTCAAGAGATCAAGACCATCCTGGTCAACATGGTGAAACCCCGCCTCTACTAAAAATACAAAAAAATTAGCTGGGCATGTTGGCGCGCGCCTGTAATCCCAGCTACTCAGGAGGCTGAGGCAGGAGAATTGCTTGAACCCAGGAGGCGGAGGCTGCGGTGAGCCGAGATGGCACCATTGCACTCCAGCCTGGGCAACAAGAGTGAAACTCCGTCTCAAAAAAGAAAAAAAGAAGAGAGAAAACTTCCACGAAGAATGTGGAAGGGGACCCCAGAGGGGAAATCCCTGTACTTTTTTTTTTAGACAAATGCTGTTACGTGCTTAATAGACTACGGTATAGTGCAAACATGACTTTTTTTTTTTTTTTTGAAACAGTCTTGCTCTTGTCACCCAGGCTGTAGTGCAACGGTATGAGCTCAGCTCACTGCAGCCTCTGCTTCCCAGGTTCAAGCGACTCTCCTGCCTCAGCCTCCTGAGTGCCTGGGACTACAGGTGCTTGCCACCATGTGCGCCTAATTTTTGTATTTTTAGTAGAGACAGGTTTTTGTCATGTTGTCCAGGCTGGTCTCGAACTCCTGACCTCGTGATCCGCCTGCCTCAGTCTCCCAAAGTGCTTTGATTACAGGCATGAGTCACTGTGCCCACCTCTAGATTATTTGTTTCTCCAAACTTAATCAAAGAAATTTTACCTATTTTAAGACAGGGTCTTTTTTTTTTTTTTTTGAAACAGCATCTCACTGTCACCCAGGCTTTAATGTATTGGCATAATCATGGCTCACTGCAGTGTCAACTGCCTATGCTCAATCGATTCTCCCACCTCAGCCTCCCAAGTAGCTGGGATTATAGGCACATGCCACCACACCTGGCTGATTTTTGTATTTTCTGTGAGTACAAGGTTTCTCCATGTTGACCCAGTTAGTCACGAACTCTTGGGCTCAAGGGAGCCTCCCTTTTGGCCTCCACAAATGCTGGGATTACAGGTGTTAGCCACCATGCCCGGCCAATTTTACCTTTCTGAGCTCTAGTTTCCTCACTTTGTACAAGTGGTCAATACGATATTCCATTATTAGTAGAGGGAAGTGGTGAGATATATACACAATATCAAAGATATTTTAAATTAAGGTATGTACACCAAGTTTGGAGATCAGTGGTAGAAAGAGAAACAGAATGTGTTGAAGGTGTTGAGGACTGAGCGAGATTACTTTCAGTTGAGCTTTTTGAAGGATGTGTCATTTTAAAGTCTTCCTTCAGGCTACAAACAGGAATGAAGGCATTGAATGATGGATACAATTTCAATGGGTAAAAATTTGCAAGGAAGAGTACTGAAAGAAAGATTTGAAGGCCAAACAAGAGAGGAGGCTGTTGCAGGTAGTAAGAATGGAAGGGTAGGCTGGGTGTAGTAGCTCACGCCTGTAATCCCAGCACTTTGGGAGGCCAAGCCTGGTGAATCTTTTGAGGTCAGGACTTCGAGACCAGCCTGGTCAACATGGTGAAACTCTGTCTTTAAAAAAAAAAAAGAAGAAGAAGAAGAAGGAGAAGAAGAAGAAGAATGGAAGGGTAGATTAAGGCACATCTTGGCAAACCTTGAATGTTAACATAGGAGTTTGATTTTTTTTTTTTTTCGAGACAGACTTTTGCCCTGTCACCCAGGCTAGAGTGCAGCAGCACGATCTCGACCCACTGCAACCTCTCCCTCCTGGGTTCAAGTGATTCTCCTGCCTTAGCCTCCCGAGTAGCTGGGACTACAGGCATGCACCACCATGCTTGGCTAAATTTCATATTTTCAGTAGAGATGGGGTTCCACCATTTTGGCCAGGCTGGTCTTGAATTCCTGACCTCAGGTGATCTGCCTGCCTTGGCCTCCCAAAGTGCTGGGATTATAGGCATGAGCAACTGTGCCCGTCCAAGGAGTTTGATCTTGATTCTGAAATACCAGTGAAGCCTTTTGATCTGGACTTCGACATTACATGGTACATTTTTTAAATTAAAGCTGAAGCTGATACAGGGTAGTTTAGAGGGGAAGTTAATGCAAAGGAAGATTCAGTGATTAAGGGCATATGATTGACAGGACATTGTGCTAGGTGACACAGGGAAGGAGACAGATGTCAAGATGTAAATCCTGCCGGCTGTGCATGATGGCTCAGGCTTGTAATCCCAGTACTTTGGGAGGCCGAGGTGGGCAAATCATGAGGTCAGGAGTTTGAGACCAGCCTGACCAACATGATGAAATCCCATCTCTACTAAAAATACAAAAATTAGCCAGGTGTGGTGGCATGTACCTGTAATCCCAGTTACTCAAGAGTCTGAGGCAGGAGAATCACTTGAACCTGGGAGGCAGAGGCTACAGTGAGCGAGATTGTGCCACTGTGCTCCAGCCTGGGCAAAAGAGCAAGACTCCATCTAAAAAAAAAAAAAAATGTTGACCCTGCCCTCAAAAAGGAGTTTGTAATTAAAAAGATCTGATGGCCGGGCATGGTGGCTCACGCCTGTAATCCAAACACTTTGGGAGGCCGAGGCAGGTGGTTCATGAGATCAGGATATCGAGACTATCCTGATCAACATGGCGAAACCCCGGCTCTACTAAAATACAAAAAATTAGCTGGGCGTGGTGGTGCGCGCCTGGAGTCCCAGCTACTTCGGAGGCTGAGGCAGGGGAATTGTTTGAACCTGGGAGGCATAGGTTGCAGTTAGCTGAGATCACACCACTGCACTCAAGCCTGATGATAGACTGAAACTTCATCTCAAAATGGAAAAAAAAGATTAGATAAGCCAGACTCAGTAGTGCTCAGACTCAGAGACACCCACGTTTTAGGGAGTGGGTGGTGAAAGAGTAGCCCCAGTGACTTGGGGGGCTGAGGAGGGGATATCGCTTGAGCCCAGGAATTCGAAGCTGCAGTGTGCTATGAACATGCTACTGTACTCCAGTCTGGGTAACAGATAAACCCCATCTCTAAAAAACAATACTAATAAAAAGAAAAAAGGGTCAGATAAAACATGTATATAGAGAATTACAATACAAGGTAGAATGTGGGAGGCATGGTGGCTCATGCTTGTAATCCTAGCACTCTGGGAGGCTGAAGTGAGAGATTGGCTTGAGCTCAGGAGTTTGAGACCAGCCTGGGCAACATAGTGAGACCCTATCTCTACTTAAAAAAAAATAAACAAGGTAGAATATGATACATGTTAAAAGAGATCCAGCTCAAGTGCCTTGGGAGCTTAGGGGAGGGTGAGATTAATTTCCTTCTCCCAAGACGCTGGAGGCAGGAGACAAAGTCGGTTTCATCTTTGGAATTGTAAGCCTAGACTCAGAAGTCTCAAGAGGGGGACATTGGGGGTCTTCTCCACGGTCACCCCTGCCAGGATTCCCTGTCTAGAATAAACAATAACTTTAAGGAGGTCTGAAGGAAAACTGTGAAGGAAGAGGCTCCGTTTGAAGTGAGTAGAAAATGAATTTAGCTTTGAGGTGCTGAGGTGTTGGTAGAGGCAACTTTCTGGCAAAAGGAGAGTTGAAGGCCAGGAAGTGGATGAGATCAGGGAGAATGTCTGGAGGGAAGAGGGATAAAAACAGAAACTGGGGAAGCACCCACGTTTTAGGGAGTGGGTGGTGAAAGAGTAGTCAGAGAAGGAGTGGCCAGAGGGAGATGTGAGAATAGATCCAGCAGAACACCTTGTTACAAAGTTTCGAGGAGGCTGGCAGGGGTGGAAGCCAAGACTGGTAGCAGAAGGAAGAAAACTTTCAGCAATAGGGATTGAGGTTTTCAAGGAATGAAGGCTTTTCCTGAGACTCCACAAATAATGTGAATTACCTGTGTCTGTCACCTTTGGAGCTTCCCCGAGGCTAGTGGGGAGCAGGGTTGTACCCTCTAAATATCTGGGGTTCAGTTATATAATTAGCAACACCGGATAGGACAGGAGCCAAACCTCTGCTAACCCTAACCAGTCCCTCCAGGAACTGAAAAGATGAAGAATTCATTTAGGAGAGATTTCACACTCGGCTGTCTGTCCTAGCCCAGTGAAGTCTCTTTTCACCACGCAACCCAAATGACTCTTCAGGCTGTCACTGTCGTCTGGTATTGCCAGCGATCTGACTAAACCGTCTTGCAAAAGTTTGCAGCATTCGCCCGAGGCGGACTACAACTCCCAGAGTTCCGGGCGTTCCCCGGTGCTGATTGGCGAAGCCATTGACTCCAGGGGGCGGAGTCTTTCCCGCCTCCCCAGGGAAACAGACCTCTGATTGGCTGGGCCGCGGGGCTTTTGTGTCCCCGCCCTCCCCCGGGGACCGCAGCGGGCTGAGCTGCTGGGGTCTAGAGCCCGGCGAGCACTGGCAGTTCCGCGGCGGGGATGCTGAGGAGCGCTGAGTCCGCGAGCAGCCCTGGCCCCTGTGGACTTCCGAGGCCGTGAAAACCCCTGTGCCGCGGCCCTTCCCAGGCCCCCGAGGCCGTTCGCCGTTCTCGAAACCCGACTGGGGGAAGAGTCCAGCACCACAGCGGCCGTTCTCGGATTCCGGAGCGTTCTGTAGCCCCGAGAGACGCCCCAGGATTCTAGAAGCTCCCCGGTGGCGCCCAGTCCCCGCTCCCTTAGGGCGCCCGTCCGAAACCCGCTGGGGTGCACGGGTCATCGGCTAGCCACGGCCGGGTACTGGCGCGCACCATGATCGTGGCTGACTCCGAGTGCCGCGCGGAGCTCAAGGGCTACCTGCAGTTCGCCCCGGGCGGCGTCGGCGGCTCGGGCCCCGGAGAGGTAAGCGGCGGCCGCGCGACGCCCCTCTTCCCTGGAACGCTGACCCGCGTCTGAGCCGCAGGCTGTCCGGAGCTGAGTCGGTGCGCTCCGGGCTCGCGGAGGGAAAGCCGAGCGTGTAACCCGGGACCGGGGTTGCATCAACTGGCAGCCGCGGCCCTCGGCACCCCTCCCCCTCCCCTTCCCCTCCTCTCCCCTCCCCCCTCCCCGGGGCAGCGGAGCCCTCCTCGGCTCCCTCCTACTCCTGGCCAATGAGGGAGAAGCCTTCTCGAGGCTCGCTGGGCTTTGGGCTCCTGAGCGTCTTCAAGTCCGGGCAAATCCCGACCGGAGCGGCCCGACCACTCCTCCTCCCCGCCCCCTTCCGCGGAGTCCCTTCCTCTTCTCGGGAGCCGGCGGGCTGAGGACCCTTTCTGGGGTGCGTCCCGGCTCCTGTCCCCTAGCGCCGGGACTGGCCAGCGAAAGTCGACCTCATCCCCTGCCCCCCGCACCCCTGCTTTGGAGGGAGGGCGCGGGGGCTCTGGGGGCTTGGCGGGCCGCCCAGTACGCGGCGGCGGCAGCCAAAGGTGGAGAGAGAAGGGACAATCCCGGTCGCGGCTCCCGAAGCGAAGCGCGGGTTAGGCTGCGCTCTGCTAAGTAAGTGGTCTGAGGCCCCAGAAGTTTGTTTTCCAGAAATTCCTCCCCGTCCTCTCTTCGCGCCGTCCCCACACCCCCTCGCCGCACCCCAGCATAGCCCGGAGGGACTCTGCAGGGAGACCCGGAGTTAGGCTGGACCTAACCATACTGACTGTTCGCACTCCACCACCAGCAGCAGCGATGATGGACATCTTATCATTTATTATGCATCTACTAGATACCAGGCTCTAAGGTTTTTTCGCCTTTAACCTGAGTTCTCAGGACTAAACCAGTAAAATACAACCTACGTTATAGCCCCATTTTACGGGATGAGACCATTGAGGCCCACGATGGGCTTAGAGAGAGGCTTTATTCATTAACTCCACTGAATAGCAGCATTCTTTGACCTTATAATTTCGGAGATTGCTTGGCACTAGGAGCTTCTCGTTGCTTTAGTTTACAGGCCTGGAGTGCGGTGGAGGTTGTATTCTGGACGTGGGATTTGGTGGAGTGCTGTGTGACCCCAGGGAAATCCCTGCTCTTCTCTGAGCACCGTGGTTTCTGGGGGTCCTACCTCGGTCGGTGCATGGTTTGTGCCCTGCTTTTTGTTAGCTTGCTTACCCTTCCTTGCCATGATTTAGGAGCGCCAGGTGGAGAAATGGCTCTTCTGCAGCTTCTTGACGACGAGTGACTTCTTTGGAAAGATGGAGATAATGTTACTATTGAGAACACGTGTATACTAGAGAGCAAGAGTGCTAGGTTCATGTCCCGGCCCTCTTGCTAACTTGCTGTGTGTGTCTCAGCCAGTAATCACTTCTCTGATCTGTAGTTTCTTCCAATGGGGATTTGACAGTATCTCTAAGGGACTGTTGGGACAATTAACCAGAATACAAGCAAAGGCTGAAGCGCCGTGACTGGAATATAGTAACTGCATAAAACTTGCTATTAGAATGTGGCTGTGACACACACAGCTTTCTCCTGAGTGTCTCACAAGGGGGTGCCCCAGCCTTTTCCTGAGATGAAACTTAGTATACCCACCTGGGACAGTGCCTGGAAACTGGTCCAGGGCGAAAAGGCTTTGAGGGAGGGCTCTTTACACAGAAGCCATGTTTTCCTTAGTGGAGAAAACTGGTGCTATCTGGGAGGTTTTGTTGGTTTTTTGTTTTTTTTTTTTGAGATGAAGTTTCACTCTTGTTGCCCAGGCTGAAGTGCAATGTCCTGATCTCAGCTCACTGCAACCTCTACCTCCTGGTTCAAGCAGTTCTCCTGCCTCAGCCTCCCTAGTAGCTGAGATTACAGGCATGCACCACCATGCCTGGCTAATCTTTGTATTTTTAGTAGAGACGGAGTTTCACTGTGTTGGCCAGGCTGGTCTCGAACTCCTGACCTCAAGTGATCCACCTGCCTTGGTCTCTTAAAGTGCCGGGATTATAGGCGTGAGCCACCACACCTAGCCTATCTGGGAGGTTTCTTTGTATTCTCTCTTGAGAAAAGAGGACCTTGGCACAGTTTCTGCTTTAAGTGGCATCCTTGGAAGACAGCAGGGTGCTGATCTTTGAGTTGGGTGCCCGAGGCCCAAGGGAAGACCCAGGTGTGCAGCTCCCTTAACTCTCCGTCACTTCACCACACACTCCCTTTCAGGAGCTCATTGCCTTCAGATGTGTGTATCTTGACAGTTCCAAGGGCTTCACTCTAGTACTGGCAGTATTGGGCTCCACAATAACTTTCTCGGCCAGATGCAGTGCCTCATGCCTGTAATACCAACACTTTGGGAGGCTGAGGCAGACGGATTGCTTGAGCCCAGGAGTTCAAGACCAGCCTGGACCACATGGTGAAACCCCATCTCTACAAAATACACAAAAGTTAGCCAGGTGTGGTGGTGTGTGCCAGCTACCTGGAAGACTGAGGTGGGAGGATTGCTTGAGCCTGGGAGGTGGAGGCTACAGTGAAGTGTGATCACGCCACTGCACTCCAGCCTGGGTGATAGAACAAGATTCTGTCTTAGAAAGAAAAACCCCAAAATTTCTCAGGCATCATTTCTTTAGGGAAGTCCTTCCTCCTCCACCAGATAAGTCCCCTTGCACACCTTCCTCCAGTCCTCCTCCTCCACTGTAGGAGCTTTGGTCCCACTTATGTGAAACAGTCCCTTGCTGGAGACACCCTGCAGGTCTTATCCCCAGCGCTGCTCTTTGCACCTAATAAGTTGTTCGTGACTAGTTGCCCCTTATTGGCTTAGCTAACCCTTGTGAACTATTCCAGCCTTGGAGTCAGATCTGAATTGTGCCCATTTAGAAGAGGACCTTTCTGACCTGTCTCCAAAGAAGGGATTACAAGAACTATTTCCCTCTGGGTGGTTGGGAGGAATTGGCACGATCAGATGTGTAAAGCACTTAGCATGGTGCTCAGTTCGTGATGGGCAGACAAGTGTATGGCACCACTCACTCACACCCCTCCACCCGGCCCCAAGGCTGGAGGTCAGTGGCTGCTTGGGCTGTATTTCTGTATCGTCTTCTCAGGCGTAAACCCAGGCAAATATCTGAATTCAGCTGGGAGTGGGGGAAGGAGAGTGTGTGTCTGTTCTTTCCCAGCTGGCAGAGTGAGTTACCAGGTGTCTGTAGCTGAGTCCAGGGATTTGTAGGCTCTATAAAGGATAATATAGGGTAACCAAGAATAAAGGCTGGGGCTTCTCCAAGAAGCGGATATGGGTAGAGTGGACAGAACCCTTGGAAGCCAGACTGAACTGGGTTCAACTCTGCAAGTCTGAGGCCACTTCCTGAAGCTGTTATTGTAAAGTGAAATGGACCTTAGAAGCCAGACAGCCGTGGGTTCAGATCTCAAATTGGCTACTTGTCAGCTGGTGCCTGACAGGAGCCTAATCTTTGAAACCTTCATCTTTCCTTGTGTGCAAAATAGACTCCGCCACCACCCCAAAACAGATGAAAATTAGATGGAACCTGTGTGCAAGTACTTGAGCTAATTTAAAAGTTAACATATAGTAAGTGCTTAAATTAGGATCCATGCCAGGTGTGGTGACTCATGCCTATAATCCCAGCACTTTGGGAGGTTGAGGCAGAAAGATCGCTTAAGCCCAAGAGTTTGAGACCAGCCTGGGCAACACAGAGAGACTCCATCTCTCTCTAAAACAAAACAAAACAAAACAAAACAGGAGCCAGACACAGGTCTGGGGCCATTATCCTCTTTTTATAGCTTGCGTGAAGACCTTTCTGTTGAGTGACCACCTGGAGGGTTAACTTCAGTGTTCCTCCTGCCCCATGTGATCTGTTTAGTTGAAACTATAAGAATAGCCACCATTGATTCTCCCTCTGTCCCACACTAGCTCTGTTATTTTAGACAAGTAACCTGACCCCACTGTGTTGCCCTTTCTTGTTTTGTAACGTGGAATGGGATCATGCCTTTATCAGGTCTGCTGAACCCATCCAATATAGTAGCCCCTCACCACATGTGGTTATTTAAATTTAGATAAAATGAAAATGTTTTGCTGCGTTTGTCACATTTCAGATGTTCAGCCACAGTGACTAGGTACTCTCGCATTTCTTGGACAGTACAGATATAAAATATTCCATCATTGCAGAAAATTCTGTTGGACTGTGCTATGCTAGGCATTGGGGCTACAACAGGGAACTAGATTCAGTGTGTGCCCTGAAGTTTGACAGGTGCTGTGACTGGAGCTTCTCACTCTTGGTGAGCCTCAGATGCAACAACCTGGAGACTTTTGTGACTTTGAGAAGTTTAGAGAATGGAGAATTATTTCTGCACTTGCAGAAACCTGGTTTGTATCCCAGCTTTCCTACTGCCTTCCTGCCTGATTGGCCAGAAGTGAGTTGACCTCTCTGAGTTTTGTCTCTCATCTGTAAAATGGAAGCCCTGGTAGTAGCTTCTGCCTTGAAGTTCAGGTAGTGCATGTGAAATTAACACTTAGCCAGTGGTAACCAGCCTTATTACATACCATTATTATTAATGACTCCCCACTCCAGGGAATTGCAGCAGGGAGGGCTGATTTGGGGGGGTCATTTCTTGGCAGTAGTATGCTGCCCTGCTGGTCTCAGGGTCGTGGAAGCATTCAGGCTGTTGGTGCCATGGATTCCTATCTACTTGGTCTTCCCTTCAGGGCTTTATACTGTCTGTTTCCTCTGACTGGAATGCTGGTCCCCTATTTTTTTTTTTTTTTTTAGACGGAGTTTTGCTCTTTGTGCTCAGGCTGGAGTGCAGTGGTGTGACTCGGCTCACCACAACCTCCGCCTCCCAGGTTCAAGCAATTCTTGTGCCTCAGCCTCCCAAATAGCTGGGATTACTGGCATGTGCCACCACACCTGGCTAATTTTTGTATTATTAGTAGAGACGAGGTTTCTCCATGTTGGTCAAGCTGGTCTTGAACTCCCAACCTCAGGTGATCCGCCCGCCTCAGCCTCCCAAAGTGCTAGGATTACAGGCATGAGCCATTGCACCCACCTTTTTTTTTTTTAAAAGAAGGTGTCTTGTTTTGTTGCCCAGGCTGGTCTCAAATTCCTAGCCTCAGGTAATCCTCCCCAACCAGGCCTTCTAAAGTACTAGGGTTACAGGTGTGAACCACCCTCCCTAGGACCCCTACATCTTTACAGGCCTTGCTGCCTTCTCATTCAGATATCAGCTCAAAGACCTCCTCAGTGGCTTTTCCTGTCTTCTTATGCTAAAATATTGCACACTCTCCCACCCCATCATACAGTTATTGCTTTATTTCACTCACCTTAGAGAATCTGTGCTTTAAAATCCTATTTATCAGATTCTGAAGCATATGAAGGCTGAGGGCTTTGTCTTCTCACTACTCTATTCTTGCTACTTGTAATATAGCCATCAAAAATATTTGTTGTGTGAACAGATTAATTCTGTTTTCACCTGGAAAGTACTTAGCATAGTGCCTTATTTTTGAGAAAGTGATCAATAAATGGTATAAACAATGTTCCTCACCCTGGCTGTATGGGGCCCCCACCCCAGACAACTAAATTAGAATTGCTGTAGGTTGGGACCTTGGCATTATTATTTTTTTTAAAGCTTCTCAAAGGATTCTAATGTACTGCTTGGGTTGAGAAGCCCTTGTTTGATACAGCAAGGAGGTTAATGATAGCTGACTTTTATTAAGTGCTTATTGTCATAGAGATAGCGAAGTAAGATACACAGTGTTAGCTTACTAACACTTATCACTAGCCTGTGAAAGTAGTTACTGTTATTCCCATTATTTGGTGAGGAAACTGAGCCTCATAAAGCTAAGGGATAGCAGGTGGTGGAGCTGTCATTTAAGCTCATGCAATTTGTGTCAAGAACCCCTATCTTTTCTTTTTTTTTCTTTCTCTTTCTCTCTCTCTCTTTTTTTTTTTTTTTTTTTTTTTTTTTTTGAGATGGAGTCTTGCCCTCCTTCCCAGGCTGGAATGCAGTGTCACGATCATAGCTTGCTATAACCCCAAACTCCTAGGCCCAGGCAATCCTCCTGCCTCAGCCTCTTGAGTACCTGAGACTACAGGTTGTGTGGCACCATGCCCAGCAAATTTACTAACTTTTTATAGAGACAGGGTCTCACTGTGTTGCCCAGGCTGGTCTCAAACTCCTGGCCTCAAGCATTCCTCCCACCTCAGCCTCCCAAGGTGCTGGGACGAGCTTCAGTGCCATCCAAGGGCCCCCTATCTTTTAACTACACTGTATGTTGTTGTTGTTGTTGTTGTTGTTATTGCCGAAAATGTTGATGGATCCAGACCCATGACTTAGAGCTCCTTCTTTTGACACTTCTTAGGTCAGATTTTGGAGTGAGCTGGGATTCCCAAGGCTGTTCCTGTCCCTCCATAGCGCCCCTGATGGGCCCTCTCTGCCTCCCTCAGTTCTGCCCCACCCTACCCTGCTGTGGCTTGCTGTCTGTTCTCAGGTCCCCTGACGTGGAGCCCCAATTTGTGGAGTCAGCAATCCTTATCTCCTAGACAGAGCTGTTGGGCTTTTTCTTTGGTGAAGGGGGAGGGAAGCTTCAAAGGGGAGTGTTTAGGGATTGTGGTGGTTACTACGCTGAACTTGGACCAGCCTGGCCCAGAAGTTCCCAGAAGTGTGGGCTGAAAGCTGCCTGCACAGTCAGCTTAATTCCCATTTTGAAGGTAGCTGGGCTACTTTACCTACCAGGATTAAGGCCCAGATAGTCTAGGCCTTTAACTTCCCCAGAGCCACATAGCAAGTTAGTTGCAGAATTGGTACCTTCCCCAGAGACTTTGTAGTCTTCTGGAGTCCCAGAGCTCTGCCTCCTCAGTGGGCTTTTGGCCATCTGAGGGGGAAGGTTCAATTACAGTTTTTAGTTCCCGGCTACGCTGAGGGCTGGTCCTAAGTCTGGATCTTAATGGAGAGGAGGGAACATCCTCTTAATGGAGAGGATGTGCGTCTCCTATCTCTGTCCAGTGAGGGCATGGCTTTGATTTAGGGTAAACTATCCAAGGCCAATGCTAAGAGCTGCCTCCACTGTCAGATTAACAAAATAAATAAGTAGAGCATCCTTCCTGAACCCCATCTCTAGGACTAGGAGAAGCAGATGTACTATGTACGTGATTCTGGTGGTTTCTAAAGAGGCTCCAACATACACAGGTCAAAACAGTTGCTACCATCAGTGCTGTACACCCTGCTTGGATTCCCTCAGTGCCTTTCCGCTTTCTCTGTCTTCATTCACAGACTAGTATGAATGGCCTGGCACTGCTCTTCACTAAATGTGATCTGGTAGGTTTTGGGGTCACAGGTGAGGGCCAGAAAAATGTTCCTAGACCCTGTGGTTTAGCTTTGCAAAGGGAGTGACCAGTGGGACTGGGCCACTAATTTAAATGGAGGCCCATGGGAGGAGGAGGTAGGGTTTTAAGCCAGTTGTTCAGATTTATACTTCAGAAGTTAATGTGGCTACTGGGTAGAGGATGGATAGGAGAGCGCAGTGCTGAGGAGGCCAGGGGACAATTGGTGAGGCTATGAGTAGTGGTCCAGGCAAGAGGGGGTGGTAGTTGTTGAGGTAGTGGTGGTGGGAGGACAGATATGCAGCTAGGCATGGCAGTGCCTGTCTATAATCCCAGTGCTTTGGGAGGCCAAGGCAGGAGAATCCATTGAGCCCAGCAGTTTGAGGCTACAGTGAGCTGTGATTGCACTACTAAAGAAGGAAGAAATGAACATGTAAGAGAGATTGAAGCTAGTGCTGAGGCATCTGGGGTACTTGGGTTACCTGGCTTCAGGGCAAACCATGGGGTGTTCTTGTATGAGTTCTCTGGGGTCACTAAGAGGGTGGCCTCCTGGAGACGCACAGCATGATGGCTATATATTTCCTTCTCCAGGCCCGTCCCACCTCGAAATGCTGGGGTTCTTGGGTCCCAGCCCCGTTCCTGAGGAGCTCAGCCTGGAGTGAGCCCTCTTTCTTGCTTACCCTTCCAAACATGCATATATCTCTCACCTGGCTCCACCATGCACGGTGTGATAGAAAGGTGGGTTTAACAGCTCACTGTAGCCCCTTGGATAGGAGGAAGAGGCTGGATAGGTAACAATCCTCTTTATTCTCCCTTCTACCATGGACTAATCTCCATGTGTTTCCTCCCAGGAGCAGAGGGAAAGCCGGGCTCGGCGAGGCCCTCGAGGGCCCAGCGCCTTCATCCCCGTGGAGGAGGTAAGTTTGGAAGGGGTGAGAGATCTTTGGTCCCTGGGAAGAAAGGACATGGTGTGTTGGTGGGCAGGTGTCTTTTCCTGTTCCTTAAATTGCAGCTTTGAAACTATTCCCCTCTGATTTCTGATTCATTTAATTCACAAAACAGCTCCGTGAAGCAGGCACTATCAACCCCATTTTGCTGGGAAGAAACATACTCAAAGAGATCAAGTGCTGATAACAGCCTGGTAGTGGCCAAACTTTTGGTACCTTAGATCAGTGCCTGTTTTCCCTTAAGAAGATATAACTATGTTTGTCCTCTCATCCATGACTGTACATATAATATATGTTCTTGTCTGTTTCAAAAGTAATATGTGTTTATTATTTTAAAAATTTCCATTGTTTCAGAAAGCTCTGATCTCCTGTCTCCTCCTGCACCCTGTAGAGATCATCACTGTTAACCATTTGCCACTGTTTACTGTGCTTTTTTTCAAGCTAATACTTTCAGTACAGAACCAAGGTCATAGTTTACAACTTGTTTTTTTATTTTGTTTTTCACTTAATACAAGAAAGACATCTTTCATCTACTGAGTCAGTTCATTCATTCATTTACTTCATGTATCTATTGAATGATTAATCTGTGTCAGGCACTGTTCTGGTTGCTTGGGATATAGCAGTGAACAAGACAGACAAAAATCTTTGCCATTATGGAGCTTACATTCTAGTGTGTTGGGATAGTGGAGATACTTTCAAAACATATGCAGAAAAATGTAATAAAACTAGTGTCCTCATTTTCTTTGGCCTTCAATGAACAATGGCAAATTTTTTGTTTCCTCTTTACTCTCTTTTGTTCTCCAAATGTGTAGGGCAAGTGGTTAATAAGCTAACAAATGTTTAACCTCCCTCTATACCCTGTTCCTCTGCTCCTTTGTAAATGTAAGGCGAGCAACCTCTTGCTGATTATTTATGTCTGTGGCCCAGAATTCTAAGCTCAAGTATTGTTCTTATGTTTTATTTTTTCATTTATGAATAATCACTCTTTTATAATAAAAGAAACAGACAGCCAGGCGCGGTAGCTTACACCTATAATCTCAGCACTTTGGGAGGCCAAGGTTTGGGGATTGCTTGAGACCAGCCTGGAAAACATAGTAGGACCCTGTCTCTATTAAAAAAAGAAAGAAAGAAAGAAATAGGCTTTGGAGTTCATCTGGATTTGAATCTGCTTCTGTTATTTATCAGATCTGTGACTTTGAGCAAGGAATAAAACTTCCTGGTTTCCTCATCTGGCAAAGTGGGGGAAATAGTATTCACCTCACAGGCTTATTGACAAGATCCCATGAAATCATGCAGAGAAAACCCTAAGCTCAAAGATGGCATGAAGACAGCACTCAGGAAAAGTGAACTATTTTGCAGTGTTAGAATAGACGTTCCATGAAGGGAAGGAGAAACTGTCCTTTTACTCTCTGTACCTGAGTTTTCCTACCTAAAAATGAAGAAACGGAACTTCAATTTTATAGTTGTTGTGAGAGTTTAGTTAAAATATGCATACTTGAACAGTGCTCGGCACATAGCATTGTATGTGTAAGTACTGGCCGTTATGAGGTACATAGTATGTATTCATTGAATCACTTTTTAAAATAATCTGTTTCTTCTCATTCCTTGTTTTTGGACTTGGTGGTGGTTTTTAGTTTCTTTTTTTTTTTTTTTTTTTTTTTTTGAGATGAAGTTTCTCACTCTGTGGCCCAGGCTGAAGTGCAATGGCGCGATCTTGGCTGACTGCAACCTCTGCCTCCCAGGTTCAAGCCATTCTCTGCCTCAGCCTCAGGAGTAGCTGGGATTATAGGTGGCTGCCACCACAACCGGCTAATTTTTTGTATCTTTAGTAGAGATGGGGTTTCACCATGTTGTCCAGGCTGGTCTCAAACCCCTGACCTCATTTGTGATCCACCCACCTCAGCCTCCCAAAGTGCTGGGATTACAGGCATGAGCCACTGCACACGGCATGGTTTTTAGTTTCTTGCTATTAAAAACCCACTAGAAGAATACTTTGGTCTCTTTGATGAGTGGGGCAGGAGGGAAACCCACGCTCTCCTCCCCTTTGCTTGGCAGGTCCTTCGGGAGGGGACTGAGAGCCTTGAGCAGCACCTGGGGTTGGAGGCACTGATGTCCTCTGGGCGGGTGGACAACCTGGCAGTGGTGATGGGCCTGCACCCTGACTACTTTACCAGCTTCTGGCGCCTGCACTACCTGCTGCTGCACACGGATGGTCCCTTGGCCAGCTCCTGGCGCCACTACATTGCCATCATGGTGAGCCTCTGTGGGCCTGACACTTGGAGAGGTGGCCTTGTGGGGGGTTCTGCCCTTTGATCTCTTTTCTGGGAGCTTTGTGAGCTGATTCCATAGACAAGGAGGTAAGGTAGTGTAGAGTAGGGAAAGCCCTGGTTTTATCTAACTTACAGAGTTTTAGGTTTTTTCTTTTTCATTTTTCTTGGTAGGAAGGCTTCAGGAAAAGTTTAGGTTTTGAAGAAAGGCATTGTTAGTGCCTGTGTTACATACAGATTGGCAAACTGAGGGTGCCAAAAGGAGTTAGGTGACCAAGCTGGTGGCAGAGCTGGGGTTACTTACAACTTAGATTTCCGGCTTCTTGGGTAACACTGAGCCCAACAACCTCTCCCCTGGTGGGGTACCCATCCTGGGCCGGGCACAAAGGGAGTAGGGTGACTCAGGATCTGTCCACTACCTTTGCAGGCTGCCGCCCGCCATCAGTGTTCTTACCTGGTAGGCTCCCACATGGCTGAGTTTCTGCAGACTGGAGGAGACCCTGAGTGGTTGCTGGGCCTCCACCGGGCCCCCGAGAAGCTGCGCAAGCTCAGTGAGATCAACAAGTTGCTGGCACATCGGCCATGGCTCATCACTAAGGAACACATCCAGGTGCAGGGGACAGAGAGGCCTGGTTGGCAGCCCAGGGAAGGCACTGAGCAGCTCTGACGTTCCATCTTGTCCCCTCCAGGCCTTACTGAAGACTGGCGAGCATACCTGGTCCCTGGCTGAGCTCATTCAGGCCCTGGTCCTGCTCACCCATTGCCACTCGCTTTCCTCCTTCGTGTTTGGCTGTGGCATCCTCCCTGAGGCAGATGCAGATGGCAGCCCTGCCACCCAGGCACCTACACCCCCCAGTGAGCAGAGCAGCCCCCCCAGCAGGGACCCATTGAACAACTCTGGGGTAAGTCACAGACCTAGGTCTTGATGGGGGAAGAAGCAGGCATGACCTCTGGTCCTTGAGTAGAAGCCACTGCTTCCCTATCCTTGGTGCCTGCACTACCTGCTGCTGTGAGAGACCACATAAGTTATTTGACTCTGAAGCTCAGTTTCCTCTGTGATATGGGGGGATAAAGACCCCTTACTCACAGTAGGCTGTGAGGGTTAAATGAAATACCATGTGACTAATACTGTATAAGCCATAGGCTTAAAGTCTATTGGTTTTAGCACTTTAAAACTACAGTTACCTCTTACTCTGTAATGTGACCTTGTTTATTTTAATACAAAAATGCAGATACTTTAAAAATTCCTGCTTAGGGAAGATGTGTCCGTTCTATAGCTTCTTAAACGTCACTTTAGGAAGCACAGACCCCATGGGCTATGTGACACAGTGGCTGGCACACAGGATGCCCTGGACCTTTGTGATTGTTAGGACAGCCTGGCCTGTGGGAAGGATGAGTGGAACTTCCCAGAGGCAGAAGGAGTAGTCAGTCACCACTGGTCTTCTACTCCAGGGCTTTGAGGCCGCCCGAGATGTGGAGGCTCTGATGGAACGCATGCGGCAGCTGCAGGAGAGCCTGCTGCGGGACGAGGGGGCATCCCAGGAGGAGATGGAGAGCCGCTTTGAGCTGGAGAAGTCAGAGAGCCTGCTGGTGACCCCCTCAGGTACAGGATCACAGGCATCCAGGCTCCAGGGAGTGCTCCTTCTTAGGCCATCTCTGGTGGAGAGGAGCCGCCTCCTGCATTCCAGAGGCAGCCACTTCTTAACCTCCCTTCCAAGAGGTTCTGAGCACGGGCCTTGGGCTCAAACCTGGGTTTGAATCCTGGACTGCTAGCCTTTGTGGCTGTGCAATCACTGACGAGTCACTTCCTATCTCAGGACTTCAGGATTCCTGTGTGGGATTAGTGGGGCAGCAAAGATCTTAGCACAGCGCCTGGCCCAGGGGAGCAGCTCCATAAATAACTGCCACTATTATTGTTACTAGGGGCCTGGCTTCATGAGTCCATGGGCCTGATTCACCCCCTCCCCAAGGCCTGCCTCTAGCTGAAGTCTTGCCCCACTCACTGTAGCAAGGGGCTGTTTTTTGCCCTCTACTCTGCCTTCCCCTCCCCTTTTGGTGATAAATCAGGAGTAGAGCCCTGCCTGCCCCATGCCTCAGCCTCACTGTGACCTCTTTCTGGTTCTCAGCTGATATCCTGGAGCCCTCTCCACACCCAGACATGCTGTGCTTTGTGGAAGACCCCACTTTCGGGTATGAGGACTTCACCCGGAGAGGGGCTCAGGCACCCCCCACCTTCCGGGCCCAGGTAATGCTCTCTCTACTAGTCTTAGCCATGGCTCCACATTTACAAACAAGTGGCAGGTGGATAGTTTGAGTAGTTACAGAGTTAGGTAACCAGCTGGGCATGGTAGTTCATGCCTATAACCCCAGCAATTTGGGAAGCCAAAGTGGGAGGATTGCTTGAGGCTTGAAGCTTGAAACCAGCCTGGGCAACATGGCAAAACATTGTCTCTACAAAAACATTTTATTTGATTTTCTTTTTTTGAGACGGAGTCTTGATTTGTCACCCAGGCTGGAGTACAATGGCGTGATCTCAGCTCACTGCAACCTTCGCCTTCTGGGTTCAAGCGATTCTCCTGTCTCAGCTTCCTGAGAAGCTGGGATTACAGGCACCCAACATCATGCCCACCTAATTTTTTTGTATTTTTATAGAGATGGGGTTTCACCATTCGGCTAGGCTGGTCTCAAACTCCTGACCTCAGGTGATATGCCTGCCTTGGTCTCCCAAAGTGCTGGGATTACAGACATAAGCCACCACGCCCAGCCTACAAAAACATTTTATAAATTAGTTGGAAGGTGGTGCATACCTACAGTCCCAGCTACTTAGATGGCTGAGGTAGGAGGATCACTTGAGCTGGGAGATCAAGGCTGTAGTGAGCTGTGATCGCACTACTCCACTGCAGCCTGAGTGACAGAGCCAGACCCTGTCTCAAAAAAAAAAAAAAGAGTAGGATACCTTCTTTCCCTCAAGATTCCGTGAGGGCAGTGAGGTCCCTGTGAATCCTTAAGGGGACACATCTACACCCTAAGCTCAGGAGTTGCTGATCATAAGGAGAAGGTCATCACCAAAGTGTTCCCTTCTGGACCTCTCCGGCCCAGAGCAGGCAGCACATTTAACATCAGGAGGGAGAATTATGGAGAGCCCAGGTCCAGAGGTCCAGAGGATGGGGTCTCTCTGGCTGGTCTTGGGCTCTGAAAACTCACCAATCCCTTTCCATGTACCTAAGGATTATACCTGGGAAGACCATGGCTACTCACTGATCCAGCGGCTCTACCCTGAGGGTGGGCAGCTTCTGGACGAGAAGTTCCAAGCAGCCTATAGCCTCACCTACAATACCATCGCCATGCACAGTGGCGTGGACACCTCCGTGCTCCGCAGGGCCATCTGGAACTATATCCACTGCGTCTTTGGCATCAGGTGAGTTCATGTTCTTTCACCTGGGAGGGTGTGTGCACTGCAAGTCTTCACTCTGGGCTCATAGTTGTTTCTGTTTTCTTTTTGTTTTTTCTTTTCCTTTCTTTGCCTTTACTGTTTTTCAAAGCAAATTTAACTCTTTGGTGATTTTAAAAGATGATAGAAGTATTCATTGTTTGAACCTTGTAAATGAACTCTTTAACTGCACTCCCAGACATAACTATGGTTTGATATCTGTAAATGTACATATATACACATTCACACATATATATATACACACATCATCCTATATATATGTAGAGTTATGTATTTCCATTTCGAGTAGTAATTCTTTTCTCAAATAAGGACATGTATATTGCGTAATATTTCACCATACCCGGCCAAACAATTAATTTTTTATTTAAAATAAAAAATCTCTCTACCAGAAGTGGTGGCTCATTCCTGTAACCCCAGCACTTTGGAAGACTGAAGCAGGTGGATTGCTGGAGTCCAGGAGTTCGAGACCAACCTGAGCTACATGGTGAAACCCCATCTCTACAAAAAATACAAAAATTAGCCAGTTGTAGGGCTGACACCTGTAGTTCCAGCTGCTTGGGAAGCTGAGGCAGGAGGATCCCTTGAGCCTGGGAGGTAGAGGTTTCAGTGAGCTGAGATCATACCACTGCACTCCAGCCTGGACAACAGAGGAAGACTATCTCAAAATAAATAAATAAAATTTTAAAACACAGTTAACAAAAAAGAATATAAAGGCAGGTACAGTGGCTCACACCTGCAATCCCAGCACTTTAGGAGGCTGGAGCAGGAGGATTACATGAGGCCAGGAGTTTGTTGCCTCAGCCTGGGCAACATAATAAGACCTATTTCTACAAAAAATTAAAAGTAGGCTGGGTACAATGGTTCACTCATATAAGTGCTGCACTTTGGGAGGTGGAGGCAGGTGGATCACCTGAGGTCGAGAGTTTGAAACCAGCCTGACCAACGTGGAGAAACCCCATCTCTACTAAGAATATAAAATTAGCCTGGCATGGTGGTGCATGCCTGTAATCTCAGCTACTTGGGAGGCTGAGGCAGGAGAATCGCTTGAACTGGGGAGGAGGTTGCGGTGAGCTGAGATGGTGCCATTGTACTCTAGCCTGGGCAACAAAAGCAAAACTCCATCTCAAAAATAAACAAATAAATAAATAAAATTAGCTGAGTGGGGGTGGCACTTGCCTGTAGTCCCAGGTATTCAAGAGGCTGAGATAGGAGGATCACTTCTGCCCAAGAGCTCAAGGCTATAGTGACCGTGATTGCACCAGTGCACTCCAGCCTGGGCAACACAGCAAGACCCTTCACTAAAAAAAAGAAAAGAAAAATTATGTGTTACACTATCTGCTCTTTTTTTTCTTTTTTTTTTTTTGAGATGGAGTTTCGCTCTTGTTACCCAGGCTGGAGTGCAATGGTGCGATCTTGGCTCACTGCAACCTCCACCTCCTGGGTTCAGGCAATTCTCCTGCCTCAGCCTCGTGAGTAGCTGGGACTACAGGCACGCGCCACCATGCCCAGCTAATTTTTTGTATTTTTAGTAGAGACGGGGTTTCACCATGTTGACCAGGATGGTCTCGATCTCTTGACCTCATGATCTACCCGCCTCGGCCTCCCAAAGTGCTGGGATTACAGGCTTGAGCCACCGCGCCCAGCCCTACTATCTGCTCTTATAACTATGTTATCTCCTTCCTGTCTCTTTTTTATTTTTATTTATTTATTTTTTGAGACAGAGCCATGGTCTGTCACCCAGGCTCGAGTGCAATGGAGAAATCTCAGCTCACTGCAACTTCCAACTCACAGGCTCAGGTGATCTTTTGCCTCATCCTTCTTAGTAGCTGGAACTACAGGTGCACACCACCATGCCCAGCTAATTTTTGCATTTTTAGTAGAAATGGTGTTTGACCATGTTGGCCAGGCTGGTCTTGAACTGCCAACCTCAAGCGATCTGCTTTTCTCAGCCTCCCAAAGTGCTGGGATTACAGGTGTGAGCCACCATGCCCCACATCTTTCTTTCTCTATGCACGAATAACAAAAGCATATATAATTTATGAAAACAAGATCTGTGGCCATTTCCCTATTAATTTCAGTTATTTTATTCATTTACTCAAACATGAGCATGTTTTAGTGAACATGATTTTTTTCCTTCTTTTCTCACTTAACAGTTCATACCAAGCACCAAAAAATTATCCCCCAATTTTAAAAAAGATACATGTTCCTTGTAGAAAGTTTGTGTTTCTGTGTATTACTAGCTGTAAATCATATTTCACTGAGTGGGTTGAGCTATGTTTAATTAACCATTCTCTTACTCTAGTTATTAGTAGGTTTCCAACCCATGGCTGGCCAAGGGCAGGCTTCTTAGAATGTGGCTCAGGCTGGTTTCTGCCCAGCCCTCAGGCTTCTCCACTCTCCAACAAGGCCCTTGCTCCTATTTCTTTGTCTTCCAAATCTGCCTTCCAGTTTTCAGCCAGTCATTCCTCCATCTACACTGATCTGCGATTACATTGGCTGCCCTAACTCACTAGACTGGGGGTGACTCAGTGGCTTCTAGACTCGTCACTAACTTGCTTTTTGGCTTTGAAGAAGTTAATCATCTTTTCCAGGGCTTAGTTTGCCCATCTGTAGAATGAGTACAGCTCCTTTTTACCCTTATCCTCTTCCTTCTCCTTCACTGACCTCCTCCTCTACCTTCTGTGGCCTTTACTGTAGAGTAGTGAAAATGGCCTCTGAGCTAGGGAAAGCTGGGTTTATAACCCATTCCTGGCCAGGGACAGTGGCTCACACCTGTAATCCCAGCACTTTGGGAGGCTGAGGTGGGCAGATAACCAGGTCAGGAGTTCAAGACCAGCCTGACCAATATGGTAAAACCCTGTCTCTGCTAAAAATACAAAAATTAGCCGGGAGTGGTAGCACATACCTGTAATCCCAGCTACTCAGGAGACTGAGGCAGGAGAATCGCTTGAACCCAGAAGGCAGAGGCTCCAGTGAGCTGAGATCACGCCACTGCATTCTATCCTGGCAAGAGAGCAAGACGCTATCTCAAAAAAAACCAAAAAACAAAAAACCATTCCTTGCTGTATTAACTAGGACAAATGACTTCCTTTCTCTGAATCTCAGTTTTCTCATCTGTAAAGTGGGGTTGATGAATGTAGTAGATTGCATACACCATCTAGTCATATACACAATAGTGTAGTTTTGAGGATTCCGTGAGTACCTCTCCACATGGCACATAGTTGGTATTCAATACAGCGTGCTCATTCTCTGCATTCCTTGAAGTCATCCCCTGCCAATGTGGCAGCCTGTAATACATGGTGTCAGCTGTTTCTCCAAGAGGAACTAGGCTTGTTGTTGCTTCTACCTTCTGACTTTCCTCAGCACTCTCTGTTCTTCCCTCTATAGGGTGCGGTTGAGGGGAGGAGCTGCCTCTGGGAGGAGAGGGTGGGTAATGCTGCTGGGACTTTTCCATCCAGATATGATGACTATGATTATGGGGAGGTGAACCAGCTGCTGGAGCGGAACCTCAAGGTCTATATCAAGACAGTGGCCTGCTACCCAGAGAAGACCACCCGAAGAATGTACAACCTCTTCTGGAGGCACTTCCGCCACTCAGAGAAGGTATGACCTATACAGGCAAGGCAGGATGGAAGTAGACAAGCCCAGCCAGTGGAGAGGGCAAAGGGTTAGGACCCAGTGAGGGCCCCCAGACTGAGTCTGTCCTGCTAGGTGGGATACCTGGACCTGCTGCTCTGGATTGAAGTCCTGTTCCACTGTGTGATTTCAGAGTCCATTTACTCACCTGTAAAATGGGAATGTGAGTGCTTGTTTCACATTAATGATAGCTTAATGGACCTGGGTTCAAATCATAACACTATCTCTTAGTAGCAGTGTGACTTTGGACAAGTCACATTATCTCTCTCAGCTTTTTTTTTTTTTGAGATGGAGACTCGCTCTGGAGTGCAGTGGCATGGTCTTGGTTCACTGCAACCTCTGCTTCTTGGGTTCAAGCGATTCTCCTGCCTTGAACTCCTGAGTAGCTGAGATTACAGATGCGCATCACCATGTCTGGCTAATTTTTTGTGTTTTTAGTAGAGACGGGGTTTCATCATATTGGCCAGGCTGGTTTTGAACTCCCGACCTTGTGATCCTTCCTCCTCAGCCTCCCAAAGTGCTGGGATTACAGGTGCGCCATCATGCCTGGCCTTCTCTGAGCTTTTTATCCTTTTCATTTTTGTTTTTTTTTTTTTGAGACAGGGTATTGCTCTGTTGCTCAGGCTGGAGTGGAGTAGCACAATTTTAAATCACTGGAGCCTCCACTTCCTGGGCTCAAGTGTTCTCCCACCTCTGTCCCCAGAGGGCCTGAGGCATGCACCAACTAATATTTTAAATTTTTAGTTGAGATGAAGTCTCACTGTGTTGTCTATCCTGGTCTCAACCTTCTGAGCTCAAATGATCCTCCTACCTCAGCTTCCCAAAGTTTTTTGTTTTTGTGATAGGGTCACACTGTTTTGCCCAGGCTATATTTGAACTTCTGGACTCAAGTGATCCTCTTGCCTCGGCCTCCTGAGTAGCTTGGATTTTATCTTTATAATGCGAATAAATACTGCTATATTTCAAGAATGTTAGGAGGATAAAATGAGAAAATGCACGTAAACCTCTGATCCCCAGTAGATGCTCAGTTAGTAGTAGCTCTTGTTTCAGCTTCAGGGAATACAGAGCTTAGTCATGATAGGAATGAATGTGCTTGTCCTTGTACTATACTGCTCAGAGCCTTAGCAGAGGCCAGGGCATCTCTGTAGGAAAGGAAATGGTGAGGTAAGTGGGTCAGGGATCTTGGCAGTCTGGGAGGGGTGTGGAGGGTGAGGAGTGACATCAGTTGCCAATATGCCCTCCTCTGTACCCCAGGTCCACGTGAACTTGCTGCTCCTGGAGGCACGCATGCAAGCTGCTCTGCTCTACGCCCTCCGTGCCATCACCCGCTACATGACCTGACTCCCTCCTGAGCAGGACCTGAGCCCGGAGCAGCTCCCCACAAGGACTTCTCTCTCTGGAGACAGCCCCAGACCCTTTTGTGTCCCACGCCCACCATCCCCACTCTGGAGTGGGCTTGTGTGTGATGTGCAGTCCCCAAGCCACACCCTCCCTTTTCCTCACTGGAATGGACAGTTCATTGCACTGACTCTGGGATCTCAGCCCTGCTCCTGGGAGCTGGAAGAGCAGTAGGAGATCCCAAGGGACCACACCCTTCCTCCTTCCCCTGCCCCCAGAGGCAGAGGGCACAGGAAGGAAGATGGGCCAAGCTTGGACTTATGTACCACAAGCATGGTGGCCTTCCTGAACTGGGAAGTCCCTGGCTGGCCCCCGAGGGAGAGGGGCAAATGCCTTCGGGACTGACACTCCAGGCAGCTTCTCTCCCCTGTCATTCCCAGATTTCATTACCTCCCACTTGCCATTCACCCATCAATGTGAAAGTCAGGGTCACAGCTGGTCTGTGTGTCCAGTTCCCCAAAAGCCTGTTCTGTTGGGCAGCCTGAGGCTGTTCCCTGGTTGCCCAATTCCTAGTTCAGTTTTTTGACTTCCTTTGCCCTTTTTTCCTTTTCTCCATGTCTGATGGTGTGAGGCCTCAGGAGAGAGGCCAAGTACATAGAAAAGCAGATTAGAGAGTTTGAGCCTTTGCTGGTCACGTTGCCTTCTGAAGAGGAGGGAGTATTAGATTATAAATCCTCTTTATTTTGGTCCTTTATGCTTGAGGTTTCAACCTGAAGCCACAGGCAGTGTGTGAGAGGAGGAGGACAGGGAGAATTCTTTTCTCCCAGAGCTGCAGCTGCCTCGCAGAGGCCAGCATCCCCCTCCCCTGCCTCCAGTGGCTCTGCACAGACGTTTGCCAAAAAGTTGAGCCTTTTTAGATGGCTTAGGTGGCAGCATGACTCAGTAGGAGGGGCAGGAGGCACCAAGGTTCTTGTTTGGGCCCTGCCCCTAGGCCATGGCCAGGTGACTATGGCTACATTGCCAAACCTCTAACTGCCACAGTTGCAGACTGAGAGTGGGTCTGAGTCCCCACAATGTCCAAAGCTGCCCCCCGGGATTCTCAGGTCAACCTGCCAACAGCAAATTGATTTTCTTGCAAGAGCTTGAAGGCCTCCAGGGACCCCACTTCTGCAGCCAGTCTTCCTGGGTGCCTTCTGGGAACTCCCACCCCTATCCCAGTATCTCAGCTGTCCCCTCTCCTGGAGTTTAAGTGGATTGCTTGGAGGCAGAAGCATCCAAGGACCGATCCCCAGGCACTTTCTGTAGCAAATGACTGTGAATTATGACTTTTCTTGCCCTTCTAGCAGTCTGTGCCTCCTCTCTGACCAGTTTGGAGGGCACTGAAGAAAGGCAAGGGCCGTGCTGCTGCTGGGCAGGGCAGGAGAGGAGCCTGGCCATGGGCCACATTTCATACCCGTGCAGGCACGGAGAAGCAATCGGCACCCCCTTCAGGCCTGATAGCACTCCCTGTGAGAAGGTGTGCAGGAGAGAAGGGGCCCCGGCATGGGGGTTGGGTTCTAGAGGGGATGTGATGACTGTACATGTTCACTGGGTGGGTAGGGAGTGGTATCCAGTGTTCAAGTGCAGAAATCTTCGGCCTTGCTACCAGTTCCACATGATGAGAAATAAACGTTCACTGAGGTTTTGTTTCGTACTCCTTGTTTATGGGCTGTTTTTTCAGTTTCCTGAAGGTCATAGTTCGCCTTGTAGCATAGGCAGAGAGCTGTGATTGCATCATGGACCTGACCTGATAGCCCCTGCCCTGCCGAAAATTCGTGCCCAGTGATTGCAGGTTGGGACTGTTGGCACTGAAAGTCTACTTCTGTCCCTTGGACATCCAGTCCTGTCACCCTTCAGTGGCTGGCCTGGCACTATGGAGTAATAATGATCATGTTGTTTTTCTGACTAAGCCTGGCCATGGGCTGAGTACTTGGAGACCATTCCTCTGAATCTGCAGCAATCCTGAAAGGGAATTGAGACAGGTGAAGTGACATTGTTGAGGCCAAATAGCTAATCAGTGGGGGGGCCAGGGTTCCCACCCGCTCTACGTGACCCTGAGGCCTTGGCATTTTACCTTGCTGTTTTTCCCACTAGCAGACTTCCACTGTGACAGAGAGGCTGTTTGAATCTGGAAGGACCCCCTTGTGTCCCCATCCCCCACATTATTACCTGCTTCTCATCCTTCCCCCTCCAGCACCAAGGAGACAAAACCAGGAATAAGAGATGCAACCCCCAAGCTGTGCCAATGCTGTTTATGGCTGTGTGACCTTGGTCAAGCTTCTTAACTTCTCTGGGCACCAGGAACTAGTTAGCTTATCAGGAAAACCACATCATGATTAAGAGTTAGGACCTCTCATTTGGGCTTCGTACTTCCTCTAAACACTCATAAAAAGAAAACTAGGTCTCACAGGCAGCCTCTTCTGGTGGACTCCATGCTGCCCTTTCCCTTGAGGCACCTGCTCATTTTTGCTGGATCCCATACACTTAACCTTCCTCTAGGGTCATTTGAGAGGGTTCGAGAGAAAGTGAATCATACTTGGAGTACAAAACTTGGATTCTGATCCTGTTTGAGCCACTCACTGTATTGCTGGGGAGATAGATTAATTTCACTATATCTCAAGTTTCCTTGGCCGTAGAAATGAGGATAAAAGTTTTCCATTTCTTTTCCAGGTGGCATGCATTAGGTGTGTGTGTGTGTGTTTGAGATGGAGTCTCGCTCTGTCGCCCAGGCTGGACTGCAGTGGCACCATCTGGGTTTACACTGCAACCTCCACCTCCCAGGTTCTAGCAGTTTCCCACCTCAGCCTCCCGTAGCTGGGATTACAGGCCTGCACCACCATGCCCGGCTAATTTTGGTATTTTTAGTGAATAAAGGGTTTCACCATGTTGGCCAGGTTGGTCTCCAACTCCTGACCTCAAGTGATCCACCTGCCTCAGCCTCCCAAAGTGCTGGGATTATAGGTGTGAGTCACTGTGCCTGGCCTAGGTGGCATGCTTTGAGTGTGACTGTTGCCAAATGTTTTCAAATTAATCTCCCAATCTTCACAACAACCCTGTGAGGAAAGGGTGTGTTCTCATTCTATAGATGTGGAAATGGACCCCAAATAAGAACCTAGGGAACACCAATGTAACAGACCCAGATTCAAATTCCAACTTTGACATTTAATGTCTGTCTGATCATGAGCAAGTTGCTTCAATACTCCTCAATTTCCTTATCCATGGGATGGAATTAATACCTAAAGTTACAGGAGGGTTGCGAGGATTAAATAGTGCGTGAAGACCACCTAGGACAGTTCACCTAGCATTCATGAGCTGTTCAGGATTCAGAAATTTGCCCAAGGTCATGCAAATTTTTCTGGGGTAGAATCTGAATCCTTGTCACTCTGATTCCAGAGTTCTTTGCATTGTTTTTGTTTTG